CAGGTGGCTGTAGAGAGCGATGAGGTCTCCCCTCAGCCTCCTCTTCTCCAGGCTAAACAAGCCCAGTTCCCCCAGCCGCTCCTCATCAGACTTGTGCTCCAGACCCCTCACCAGCCTCGTTGCCCTTCTCTGGACACGCTCCAACATCTCAACGTCCTTCTTGGAGTGAGGGGCCCAAAACTGAACACAGTATTCGAGGTGCGGCCTCACCAGGGCCGAGTACAGGGGCACGATCACTTCCCTGCTCCTGCTGGCCATGCTAGTTCTGATACAGAGATTCTTCGAGACAGAGATGAGGTGTCTTTGCCTGACGCTGGATCACCCCCCATCAAGAGGTTCCTTAATATCCATGTCCCTTTTTTTCTGGCATTATCCCTCCTGCAGCCCATCACTGTCCTCGTTGGGTCTGCGTGTATTCACACCCCTAAATACTCTCCTGATTGTCACTCAGAGCACCCGCGCGCTGGCGGGCGGCTCCCGTACCTCGTGTTCCAGAGAGCTGTACTCCCCCTCCGTCTGCTCACGAATGATCACGAGGTCCAGGTTGTTGTGGCGTGTTTTGTAGCCTGGTAAGCTCTTCACATGGACAACATTTGCAAACAAGTCTAATTTGCGCCTGCGGGAGAAGCAGCAGCAGAGTCAGCATTTCATCATAAGCTATTTCTGGGGCAGTGACTGTTCCCTACAAGTACTGGGGGTAACAGTTGGTGATGGTGCAAACAGCTCCCCACCCCCTAAGATGCCCTCCCATTGCTATCTCTCTCTCTGTCTATCCATCTACCCTTCCCCTCACAGGTCACGAGCCAGCCACACCTCGTCACAGCACGGCTGCGACGACCCTCTGTCGAGGCAGGCCACCACTGTCCGTCTTCCAGCCACCCACACCCCCCTCCCCAGGGCCCCCGAGGAAGCAGCAGCAGGATCACACTCGACAGAGGCAGCTCCTGGCCACAGACAGTCCCTCAGGGTCTTTCGCTTCCCGGTAACATATTAATTTCCCACCTGCCCTGGACTCGCTTCCTTCAGCCCCCGGTTCAGCGGCAGAACACCGCGACCAAGCGCGATACGGTTTTCCCAGCGACTGACATGTCGGCGCCCAGCGCTGGCAGCCGAGCAGGGGAGCGGGCTTACCTCAGCCTCATGTCGTAAGAAGCCAGCTCTCCCTTGTACTCCATGGGGGTGTGGATCTTGCCTGCGGGACAACATCGAGCAGGAGTAAGAACACAGAGCACGGAGCGCGCCGACAGCCGCTAAGGACGTCGCCGGAACCCAGGGGACAGGGCAGCAAGGGTTGGGACGGGGGGTGCTTCGAGAGAACCTCAGCCGAGCATGCAGACCGATCTCTCGCTCTACGGGACGCTGAGGGGGCCCTTTGCTTCTCTGGGCCGCACTAGGAGATCTCGTTTCAAAAGCAGAAGCCGGGTATAACCCCCCCTTTGGTAAGTTCCATAAGTACTTCAGTTAATTTGCTGCTCAGCTTAAAGACAGCATGCTTCCTTCCCCAGGCCCTGACCACAGAAATTCCTGCCTGATGGCGTTTGAGATAAGGCAACATTTCCCGCAGGCAGAGCAGAGACAGGCACAGCTAGCGCGGGTCCTCACCTATAAGGGCCACTTTACTTTCCTTCATAGAGTCAACCACCTGATCCAGTTTTTCTTCCGACGCCGTGTTCTGCACCTCACTCAGGTGATGCTCGTCGAAGACCACGGGCACGCTGGCAGCCTGCGCGAGAGACGCAGAGAAAGAGCCGCCGCCGCCCCGTCAGGCCA